ATGACAGTTCCCAGGATCTGATGTGTCTCTCACTGGTTAAAAAGGTGAGACCCTGGAGGGCCTTGAGGGAGAAGAGTTGAGGTATGGGGAGACTCTGAGTTACAAGGAGTCTCCCAGGAATTTCTGACATTTTCAGTGTTTAATGGGTTGTTCAGAGTGTCTTCATTACAATGACTTACCTGAATTCGTTCATAATGCTTTATTTACAGTATTTTCTTTCAACTGAGTAATACAGGATTTCCTCAGTTCTCTTCCTGCTCCCTGCTGCAGTTTCAAGAGGTCCCAACTTCTCTTTGTGCAGCTGACAATTAACTGTGTCTATGTGTCTGTGTTCCTGTCATCAGGTCATGAGGAAATGGAGACAGGCTCTCATCTTTGATCACCAAGAACCCTGCCTACACTGTCCTGTTCTCTTCCTCAGTTAACTTTCCTATGTAGCAAATGTGGGGCTGGGATGTCTCCATTCCTGGTAGCTTTATGTTGCCCTGGACTGTAGACTTTTCCTTGCCCTTTGGAAAACAGAATGTGTATATTGATTTGTATTTCACATTTGTGCCATGAATTACGGTTGTGGGTTAATTAAGTGAAAAGAGGATTCCTAAAATTTCTGAGAGAAAAATAAAACCCCAAACCTTCCAGAATCCACATGTTTGCTGTGCTGAGTCTGCCTCAGGTGGGGACAGGAGAAAGATGAAAGGAGCTGAAGGTGGACAAAGCAGCACCCAGTCTGTGCTCAGTCAATCCTGGGTTTGATGTGGTCACTCCTCATCTGGTTCATCTTCCCTGGTCCTTAGACCCATCCGTTCAATTGAACCTCATCTCACCAGGACCTGTAATGACAGGGACTCAGGCATCACCAGGGCAGGTCCTGTCTCCAGGACCATGGGCAGGGAGGGCATCACATTGAGTGGGTTAACATAGGCTGAGACCTGAGTCTGACCTTATGCTCCCATCTTTTTTTGTTTTGTTTTGTTTCTCAGTTTCTGTGGAGAATTATCCCTATTCTTATTACTAAGTATGAGTTCTGGTCTCATTCTTCTCTGGGTGTCTCTCTTTGAGAGCAGCAGAAATCCTTTTTCCTGTCATTGTCCCACAAAACCCAGGGCAGTTTTCTGGATTATATTTTCCATCATTTCTGCAGTATTTTTAAAGGGACCAGATATGAGAGTTGCAGAAAGGAAGGATCTTATTATTTCTCATCCTTGATAAATTTCTCTTAGGCTTTCATCTTCTCTACTCAGCAGTTTCACTGTCCTTAACAAAATTAATACTTGAACTTGCTCCAAAAATATGCAAAAAGCAGTATATATCTGTCCATGGTGGTTTTATCATATCATGGGAAACCAAGGCTGGTCTTTTGTTTTAGAATAAAACAAAAATCCATATCACCACATTAACAGAATGATGGTGAAAAAGTCATAGGTTCATTCCAAAGGATGCAGTAAAAGCATTTGTTAAAATTCAATATAATGTCATGGTAGAATCTCTAGGGGCTCTAGGTATTGAAAAGAACATTCTCAATAAGATTAGGGAAAGTAACAAAATTCTACCACTCTCATCTGTATCAGTGATAAAAAGACTCAACACTTTCTTGTTGGAATCAGCAACAAAGTTAAAGTGTTGGATCTCAGCATTTTTTATGTAACTTAATTCTGGATCACAGCCAGCACAACATCACAAAGGCACAAAGGTGCCCCTGGTATAGAGCAATGTTTAAATATGCTAAGCAAATGCTGTAGTTTTGTTGATTAGGACTCAGTTTTAGTTCTCTTCCCAAGAATAGTTTGATCTCTTGGTTCTACACAATGAGATCTGTTTTTCACTCTTGGTGATCCATTGTTTTTCTCTCAATGAAATGCAGCCTATGTTTGCAATTGCATAATTTCTTCACTGCTTCTTGCTCAGAGAACTAGAGGGCTCTATAAGTCTCTGTATTTTGCACTGTCTCTGTTTCTTACATTGAAGTTCTGTTTCTCCTAATCAAGTTTCTCCTAAAAAGCCTCTTTGAAGTTCTTCAAGGTATACCCATTACCCAGTTTAAATTCTACTCCATCCTTTAAAGTTTTTGTTTTGTTT